TATTATTGGTTCTAATAAACTTGCCATAGTAATTTGTAATGTAGTATTATAAAAGATGTTTTTGACACTCAGCACATATATTTCATTTGTTAGTTCCTAGGAACCCATAAGTTCTCTTTAATGTGTTGAGCTTGTTGGGGCTAATGTTGTGCATGAGGTAATAGCTCTTAGTGATGCAGAGAAGTAACATTTTTAAAACCTGTAGACCTCCAATCAACAAATAAACATTGATACAAGTGTAAAGAATCTCTTATCAACAAACAAGCAATGTTACAAGTTTGAAAATCATTCTACTAACAAACAAAGATTCAACTATTGCAGATTTTCTTATCAACAAAGAATGTTTCAAGTCTGCAAATTTTCTCATCAGTGAACAAGTAATGACTGAAATCTTCAGAACTTCCTATCAACAAACAATGATTCAAGACTGCTAATCATCTTCCTATCAAAAGTTATTATTTTCTTACACTGAAAATATATTTCCAATAGTACTTATCTTTCCTCACATAATAGCTTTTCTCATTCAGTACCACTCTCTCTATGCAAAACTTTTTCACTCACCACAAGGCTTGAAACTCCCATCTGCCTCATGATCAACATGATTTATTGTCTTCGCATGTAAATTATCATGTGACAACTCTCTACCAATAGAAGTGTGACACACTCTCCTAATGCCGGTTGCTCTCTCTGTTTGATTTTGCCTAACAGTTACTTCAAAATTAGGTAGATAATAAGCACTGGTAGTAGGGAAAAAGGGTGGGATGTGTAAGAGAAGGTAAGTGCCTATCAGATATATATTTTCAGTATAGGAAAATAATAACTTCTGATAAAGTACCTAACCTCCCCTCACATCATAGCTAGAATCCCACATTGAAAAGGTAAAAGGACCAGTGTAAAAGATACAGATGAGCCTCCTTTGAAACCATCTGAAGAACACCCATGGAGAGTGACCTCCATTGGATGAAGATCTGTGGAAGTCCTCACCACTTCTATACCAGGTATATTCTTTGCCCAGTTTATTTTTAAGTGTTACATAATTGGGCAGAAATCATGAGGGGGGCACATCTCTTATCAGATATAAAAGGCAGTTGGTCCAGCCCTATGTCCCACAGAAATCTCCAGAAAGCATAACTCTGGAGATGAATGCATGCAGGCTCCCCAACCACAGAAATAATGATGAGAAAGCTACAAAAGATGTGCCTCATGGTGTAAAATCATACCCGGATCAAAACCAGATCAAGTACATATCATCCAACCTGTGGTAAGAGGATGGTCCACATTGTCTTCACCTCAAGTTTAACAGACAGAATGGAGAAATTTCGCACCATCTGACTACATTGGGTATGTGTGCAAATCCACAACCAACAACAGCCACACAGAGGTTGAGTGCATGGGAGGACTACATCTGCCCTGCACAACATCAGCCTTCATGACTCTACTGCACAGAGTTGTAGTCCAAGGAGCAGAATCATGTGACCATGGTAGGACAAGGAACCCCTACCAACAGATGTGTGAGGATTAATACTGGTTGGTCCAGCTCAATCCAAATCCAGTCTCTGAAAACTGGCATTCAGTTAATAGTAGGATGAAGGATCCAAACTGGAAGTATGAACTGCACTCTTGCAGATCTATACACGATATAGTGTATGATTCAGGTGGAGGATCTACGCCATCTACCAGACATGGGGTAATCTTATTCAACACCTACCTTCATGATCCTTGTGTTCCTGAAAAAGAAAACCCTCTAGGTTATTAAAAGATCTATGAAAAAACTTTTCTACCCTATCTCTACTAGCCAAATGCTATCTGAATGTTCCAGCTTCCTTTGCCTCTGTTAAGTGTTTATTTAGCATTAGAGGCAAAACCCTCAGACCTGATCACTACTGCCTCACAAGTCACTTGAGAAACTGATATTCATAAAGAACAATGGACAGTTAAAATATCTATAAGTCTCCTTTAAAAATATATTTTTTGTTCTAAAACTTTGTTATTGCATTTATAAAAATACAAATATTGTAATGTTATTATTTGTTCATATTTTGTTCATTTTAATTTCTAAAAAATTTGTTTCATAAAATAAAAGAATTTAAGTCTTATTGTCTGCTGTTTTATCATTATTGCATATTACCTGACAAAATATTCATTGATATATTCTGAGGTATTTGTGTTCAAACACTTGCATTTTTCTTGTATTCATTTTCGTATTCATAAAAATATGAAATATTAGTATTTGCATTCGACTACCGATCTCCAATATTTGTCCCATCCCTGCCATCTACACCTATAAAATACCACTGCCTACTCTCAACTCAATGGAATTAAGAACATTCAGAAGGCAGCCTCCATGGTCCATCACTCCAGCAGCTAAGAACTGGAATGTGGTAAGAACTCCTTTTCTCCACTAGAAGAAAGAGGAAACATGTTGGAGAGTCCAGAAGAACACCGACACTACAAACAATACAATGGGTGACCACGAAGTCCCTATTTTGAAAAGAAGACCACCCTGATATATTCAATCACAGGGATGGAAGAGAGTGGCACTATTCCCTTCTGCTTTACTCATGATAGTTCACGAGTCAGTACAGTCTGGAAAGGGCATATTTATGAAGTAATACACCATGAGAAAAACCTAAAAGCAGTCATGTGGAACACCCCCTCTCAAAAGTGTTATTGCCCATAGGCATACATCGAGATTGATGGGCTTAGCATTCACCCAAAGCAAATCAGCCCGCACTTCACTACACCATGGAACATCCTTCTGGGCCCAACCCTGCAAAGGTGGAGTACTTGGAGTAGCAGAGTAAATACCTTGTACAATATCAAATACTGCACACAACCTCACAGGGTGAAGTGCATAGAGAAGATGCCCCACATTATGGAGTCACAACATCCATGTAAAAATAGAAGGTGGAGCATGGAATTGTGATGCTTCCCCCTCACAAAACATCACCCCAGGACCAAACACAAGAAGTTGGAGTGCATAGGGTGTATGTGTCACCCACGCAACAGATAGAACCACACAGAAGCTGAAGTATATGGATTACCTGCCAATGAAACATGCACTAAAGAGTCAGATATGTTGAAAAAGAAATCCATACAGAAAAAAAACACTCAAAGGTTGCACACACATATATGGATGGCAGGCACACCTGAGACAAGAGAGCATTCCCCCCAGGAGAACCCAACAGCAAAAAAACTACATGCAAATAGATAGGGTAAAGGAGGACAATCATGCCAATATAGAGGAAATTAGGGCATGAGTATCCTCTGAAAACCTTTCAAGGGAGTGATGGATAGCCTCAAAAAGAAGCTGGATGGATAAAAGGTACTGAAGGAGAGATGTAAGAGTAAGATGAAGGTGGGAAATTGGGCCTGGGAGAAGCTCACAGTACTCTCAGGGATAGTCCTCCATACAAGCAAAAAAAAAAAAAACTACAAGCTGCTGAAAGTCCAGAAACGGAAAATCAGCCTGATGGTTAGCCAAATCATAATCATCTGAAGCCTCTGGGAGTCTGAACATGTTGGCCACTGACCTCAATTGAGACAGGAAATGATCAGCATTGACCTTGAAATTTGGAGGAAGAAAAACAAGGTACTCAGTCGATGTGGTGGCATGTAACAGGGGAAGGTAGAACATAAAACTGGGGAAACAGATAAAAAGTAACACACCTGAAATATCAAATCCAAGAAGGCTGAGGAAGGCCAGACTGATTCATCAGGAGAGGCACAGGCTTGCATGGCAGAGAGTGGAGGAAACAGGCTGTTAAAATCCTCATCATCATGAACGGGTTCCACTGGCATTGGAAGTGCCTGGGTAGGGTTGGGACAAGAGAGATGACCCACGTAAAGTTCAATCTCTGGACAAACGAAAACCGAGACTCTTCAGTCAAGACCTCCGTACCTGAAGCCTGTGTCACAATGTTTGAAGTAGTAGTTACAGTAGCAAAAGTCATGACACAAAATTTGGAAGCCATATTCAACTGTGAACAAGTTATGAATCCAATCAAAAGGTTTGGAAAAATGTCAAACCAAAGAAAAAAGAAACAAGGTAAGTTAACTTGGTAATAAACTATCGCATAAATTTGCATGAAAATTTAGAATGTCTGAACTCAATGACTGCCTAACAAAATGTAATTGTTAGATGAAATCAAACAGATGGAGTAACCTGATACTGGAGAGTGTCACACTCCTATTGGTGGAGGGTTGTGGCATGATGATTTGGCTATGAAGACACTGTAAACCACATTGATCATGGAGTAAATATGATTTTAAAGACTAGTGGCAAGCAAAACAATTTTGCATATAGATGGTAACATTGAATGACAAAAGCTATTATGTGAGATACTGTATCCAAAAATAATGATTAAAGTTGGCAAACCTTAATAACAAACAATAATTCAAGTCTTCATGACTTTTTACCAGCAAGCAAACCACATTTCAAGTCTGCCATTCATATATGACACATATAGTTTTAATAATTCAAAATGGGATTAAAGTTAAAAAGAGAAAAGAAGTTTTATTAGAGGTGTTAGATCAATATAACTGTTTCATAACTGGTTGACATCAATGTTTTTATTTACTATCAATGCACATACCTTGCTTTTACAATTATCATTTGACTGTCCAGGTGAGAAAAACAAACAAAAAGAAACTACATTTACACTGGAGAAAATACTTTTTCTTCTTGAAAATACTGTATTTATTATATTTTTCACACTATGGCTAAGAATTCAATTCTTTAAAGACTCAAAGCACTTTATCTTGACTTTTGTTCTCTCATAATGTTATATACTACTGTACTTCTTTAAGTTATTGATATTTTATGTTATCACTTACAAATAATCTGAGTTCTAACTATACAGATTAATACAGTATACGTGGTGTTAATTATGTGTAGGTATGAACACATAGACACAACTTATTCAGATAGTCAGATCAGATTTTTTTATCAAAGCCATTTCTATAGCATCATTAATTCCTTTCATTAAAAATTTTTTTACCTAAGTTGCCAATCCTGGGTTTCTGCTGCCTGACAGGTGGCATGGCTCGGTAGCGGCTGTCAACAGGAGCAGCAGGTCCTGGTGTTGGAACTGATCGAAGTGGCAAGGTTTCTCCTCTGTGATACTCACTGTCACTAAAAGTGCTCCATCCTGTACGGGTGGTGTCGCCTGAATAGACATGATAACCACGATCATAAGTCTCATCTACATAGGTGTCACGGGTACTAGATGGTTGAACATGTTGATAAACATATGGTGTCTTGTAATAAGACATGATGAAAAACTGACTATTGCAGCTATTCCATAGAGTTCTCAGTCAAGATGTCTCTTTTGGCCATAGATTGAGATTCATCCCTGATATGTGTTTGTGGATATGTTTAGTATGGACTTCACAAGAATGACTCTAAAGAAAAAATGACATAAACTACGTGTTAATGATATTTTTATAGTAAATACTGATAGCAACAGAAGCTCGCTGTATATTATCAAAAACGTTTTTTGTGAAAAAGAATTACATCACACCTCCCCAAATCTTTTTAACCTCATTGTAACATTTCACTTTTCCAAATCTGTGTAGCCTCATTGTAGCTATTCACTGTTCTAATTTTCTGTAATCTCAAAATAATACTTCATTAAATCACTGTAAACTTACTACTACATCTCTATACCATTTTTGAACCTCTGTTACATCAAAGTAACATTTTCCCTAATACTTTGTTACCTCACTATTACTTCTCAAACCTTCAGTACCTCACTATAACATTCTCTCAAACTTCCATTCCCAACCTTTTTTTTTAACCTTATAGTCAGTTTCTAAACCTCTGTTACCTCACTTTAACATTACTCCAACCTTTGTTTATTTACTGCAGCACTTTTCTAAGCCTTTATTTCTCCTGTGTACTACTCTTCCTTTGTGCAATTTCTTATTTTGCTTGAAATTTGAAATTTTAGCAGTAAACAGCAAGTAAAGCTAGAAGTTTAAAAACTGAGTCCAGATATTTCTGCAGGGGTTGATAGTCCTTCTGAGTTACTACACTACTAAATTGACACTTGAATATATTTCTGTTATCGTTTGATTATTGTTTGTTTTATGAAACTTTTGTTTCCAATCAAAGTATATGTCAGTTGTCATTTTCAACCTCCATAAGTCTACAGTTTTGAAGTCCAAGGGTTTTCATATTAAAGCTGGGAAGAAGATAGATGCCCTACATTAAAGTGGCTGGTTAGAATTAAGGAAACTTGTTTTTTAAAATACTATATATAGCATTAACTAAACATAAAGAAGTTGGAATTAGAGAAATTTAAGAAATTAACAGTGGATAATTCAATGTTTATTTAGATAAAAAATCTAGGCATCTTTAATCTCTTAATTACAATAAAAATGTTTTACACATTACAATGTAGTATATGCTATAATATGTAGTATATACTATGTTTAACATAAAGTGTACAAGTAAGTTAATGACAGATCCTGATGAGTAATAAAATCAAATTGGGTATACACACCCCCCATGCTTGGTATTGCTGTCACACAAAAATATAGCTAATAAAAAGGAAACAAACAAGTATAATAAAAAAAAATTATTTTATAAAGACAAATAGGAATCAATATATACGTAACCTAGTTAGCTATAGTTAAAAAGAGTGATAAAAACTTTAACTGCATAAAGCAAGTAGGGATCGATATATACATTACCTACATAATGATAGTGATATGTCAAAGTTGGGATAAATTTCTTAAAATGTTAAGTAACTCAATTTTTGTAGTTTTGACTTTCCTATTTCAATACTTTTTGTAGCATTAAAGTTATAATTTTCCTATAATGAAAATATATTTCCGATAGATACTTACCTCATTTCACTTATATAGCTATTATTGTTCAGTGGTGCCCTCTATATACAAACATTTTTTTGGATGCCACAAGCCTTGCACCTCCATGTACCCCACAATTATCGTAGTTCAACTGTCTCCCCCATGCAAATCATCCTGCAACAACCATCTACCAATAGAAGAGCGACATATTTTCCCCACGCATCTGACTCCCTCTATTTGATTCCACTGAACTCTCACCTCTCACTTCAAATTTAGGCAGAAAAGGAAGCACTAGTTTTTAGCAGGGAGGAAGGGTTGGAAGTGTGAGAGGAGGCAAGTACCTATCAGTAATATAAGAAAATTATACCATCCGATATGGTACATCAATTCTGCTCACATATATAGCTAGAATCCCACATTCAAGAAGCTGAGGGACCAGTGTGAGGGATAAAAATAAGCCCCCTTTGAAAGTGTTCAAATAACACCTTATAGTGATGACTCTCTTAATAGAGAATTGTACGTGAAAGACCACACCACTTTTGTACTATGTATACTCTTTGTGCAATGTGAAAAGAGGTGTCACCTGGAACTGACATCCATGTGATATTAGGATGAGAGATCCCAACTGAAAGCATGAACTACAATGTGACAGATAAATTCCAAAGTAACATCATCTCCTTGGACAGGATTGTACATCACTGGAGCACGTCATGGACATCTGGATATCACTGCATGGAAGTGGATTTCCCCTATAAGTCATATGCAACCTTACCCTGCAGGTAGTCACAGAAACTTGGTGCAACATCAACTCTCGGATGCCCACCATCCAGAGATGGAGCATACTTAATAGTAGACTTGTGATACACCTTCCCTTTGGACAGGACCGTACAGCATTGGAGCAAATCACTGAGAATCAAGAAAGGGGTATCTGCCTGATGATAAGCCAAGGCAAACTGATCTGTGGCCCTTGGAGGGCAAGGCATGCTTGCACCCACTCACAACTGAGAAATAAAATGCTCATCATAAACCCCAACATCCTGAGAAAGTGAAAAAAAAAATACTGGAAGGAAGGGATGTCATGTAATAAGGAAGGAACAAGATTATAATAAACTGGGGAAATGAATAAAATAGAACAAACCTGAGAAATCATGTTGAAAAAGGCTAGCAGTTTGCATGGCATAATCAGTCAGAAGAAAAAAGGCTGTCAAAATCTTTGTCATCATGAACAGGTTTGGTAGGTTCAGGAGGAAGTCGAGTACTATCAGGAGAAGATGGTCAACTCAGATAATGTTCAATCTCCTGACAAATTAAGGCCAAAAATTCCTCAGTAGAGTTCCCCCGACCAGAAGCCTGTGTAATCGTGCTTATAGAAGGTTATAAAATATCTGAAGCAGTAACATTAGCTTTGGTATTCATCATGAAATGACAAAATTTTGAAAATAATTCAAATAAAAAAGAAGAAGAACCAAAGTAAATTATCACTGAAAAAAAATAAAACACTAGTAAAAGACATCAATGATTTTTCCAATCTTATGATAATATTAAACAGAAGAATGCATGATGAGAGCATATTCAAAACACATCTTGACTATAGCACTGCCTAACAAGAAGTGATAGTTCAGTAGAAACAAATACAGGGAGTTAGATGTGTCAGGAGAGTGTGTTGCACTCCTACTGGTGGAGGGTTGTCAAGTGAAGATTTGCATGAGAGGTGCAGTTGAACCAAGATAATAGTGGGGTACATGGGAGTGCAAGGCTCATGGCATGCAAAAAAATGTTTGAATATAGAGGGCAGCACTGAAAAAGAATAGTTATATATGTGAGAGGAGGTAACGTAATGTCAGACAAATATATTGATTCCTACTTGACTATAAAACTGAAAATTATTTTATTATACTTGATATATGTATGTGTAACATAATATCATGTAAAATGCTTAGTATATGCAACAGATATGTAGCAGGAGAGGTTGGAAGAGTCCATATGACATTCTTTAGATTCACTATTATTGCATATTGATTACAAGGGCAAGGAATTTAATAAGAGAAGTTGAAAGAGTCCATACAACAAGTTCTTTAGATTCACTAGTATTAGATATCCAGTACAAATGCAAGGAATAGAGCAGGAGAAGTTGAAGGATTCCATATGGCATGTCCTTTGCATTTGCATATTCAGTATAAGAAACAGATATGTAGGGGAAAAAGGGAGTAAAATTAAATATTTCATGTTATGTGTGATCTTTACGCTTAGATATTCAGTACATGATACACATATGTAGTAGTAGTATTAGTAGAAAAAGTCCATGTGGTAACTCCTTTATATTCTATATAATCAGTAAAAGGATAGTATTGGTGAGATGTCCATTAGAATCTTTCTTAGAATTTTGCTAATTTTATCATTATATCTTGCTAAAATTAGAGCTGGAATTTCCAAATCAATTAATCATTGGGCTCTTAATTATATTAAATTAAACTAATAGGTTATTCTCAAAAGATTGCTGAAAAAATCTTATAATGATCAAATCTGGTCTCAATACCCACAGATGGCAGAGCACAAATAGCCTATTATGTAACTTTGCACTGGACAACAAATAAGCATAATAGCAATACAAGTGAACTGAGAGGTAATGCTTGACATCAGCATCCTTACAATGAACATATTCTAGAACTTATAAATCAGTTTTGCTTCTGAAAATGGTGAACTGACATTCTGCAAGAGAGTTATACAAAGACAGCCATATCAACCTGAGATAAAGTGGACTAGACATGTGTATGATGGAGAGGAGATTACAGTAACTCCATGTATGTAAGCCATGTTCAGTGGCTTACTACAGACAAAATTTGGAGCATTGGTGGTGTGTAGTAAGGCTATAGAGACCACACATGAATATTCATAAAGCAAGCAACATCTGTCAGAGGGGGTATGAAGTCTTAGTGTTGTTCTACAATTATGGATGATCAGTGACCTAGCTACATGCTGGAATGTTCATTGGGATGGTAAACTAAGTAGAAGTAATTGTTGCCAGTAGTAATGCTAAGGTTGCACCTGTCATGTCAAATCCAAAAGCAATACATGGCTACTGTCACGATATACAAGATTATTTTTTTTTAATTTATTGTGTTGTTTTCTAATTTATGATTATTTTTTGCATGTGGGACTCCTTGGTGTCAAGAGTATAGAGTGGCACGTAGGAACTATTCATGAAGGTGTGGTAGTGAACTAACACTGAGAGAAGAGATATAAAAAGTTGGCCAGCAGAACATAAACGATCAGAAGGTCGAATAAAAGCTGTGATCATGAGAAGGTGTATGACCATGCTGATATATTTGTATGTATTTTGTTTCTGAATATATATATGTTGAATTGAAACAAGTGTAGTGCATTCTATTCATTCATAATTTCCTTTACTGTTGACATGTTACAGACACCTACTGTAGAAGAATCCACAAAAACAAAACCTGACAATTTAGCATCTGCGACAGGATTATACAGTGATAAAAGAAAACATAAACACCAGTGGAAGAAAAGGAGAGCTATCTATGCACAACTCTAGTAGTATTACAAGCACGCTACAGAACCATGTCAACATTTGATAAATTGATAGAAATTGGGTTAAAAGACAGTGAACTACGAGAGTTTGTAATACAACAACAAGATCTCAAGAGAGAAGAACGGCAACACAAAAGACAAATTGAGAAAGAGGAAAGATTGAAAGAAAAAACTGAAAGAAAGAAAAATAAGAATACAAATTGAAAAAGAAGAGTGAGAGGAGAGACCAGATATAGGGAGAATAAGAGCACAAATTGAGATTGCACAATTCGTCCAACCAAAGGTCGAAGGACCTAAGAATAAGGGAGTCAGGGCCAGCTGACCTAAGTTTGATGAACATCAAGAGGACATGGATGCTTTCCTGGAGAGATATTAAACATTTGCTCAAAGTCAGAATTGGGACAAAGATGACTGGTCAGTCTGTCTCAGCCCACATCTCACAGGAAAACGCCTACAAGTGTATGCAGGCATGACGTCAGAAGATG